GGACATGCAGGATCAGGCTCCAGTCACTGCTGGATCAGCTCCCATGGTGGCATGGCTTAGGAACACTCGTGTTGCATGGTAGTGCTCAGACCAAAATCCTCCATGAAGCCCCTCCTTGGGCTTTCTGCCGTGTGAAGTCAACGTACAGCACCTTTCAGAGCTATGATTAAGGCAATGAATTCACTGGAGCATATAGCTGGTTCTGATCAAGCACAATGGGACTATGGTGGGTTTTTTAAAAGCATTTTATACACATTGTACAGAAATCTTTTGCAAAACCTGTGCATTGAGAAAAGGCAGAGTCCAATTTTTGCAGTATCTGTAAACTAGATGACGATGGTGATGAAGACAATTTTTTCTATCACAGGTTTTCAATATACATATATTGTATCATAGATATAAATATATATAAATATAAAGGATCCTGTTCCATTTCTAGCTTCAGAATTGCTTGGCCCAAAGTCCATCTAAGCCTTTCAGAGTGCAGTAGGAGTGGTGAGTTCATTCTTGTGCTTACAGCTTGAAAATCGTTTTCAGTGTTTAAAGCATGTCATTTGTTTCATTTCCAAACTTGTAAATATCTCTCAGCCACCATTAACACCTCATAACCAAAGCATTCATGAGGATATTTTTATGTCCAAAGCCTAATTTGTAATAAAAAAATAATATTCACAATTAAAACATTTCTCTCTTGCAAGCCAAGTTGCAACATCATCATATTGATGTTACAGTGACAGAGCCAGCCTTAAGTATAACCAACATAGGGAGTCTGCAGTGACAAATCAGCAGTTTGTAGGTTGGCCAAATCTTCCTTTCTAGAAATGGGACTGGAAGGGGAAACCATCTGAGGCTTCCCCATCCTACTGCCACACCACAAAGCTCTACAGCCTTGTGGGGTTACAGTCAAAGAGATTTTTCCCCCTGGCATGTGGGGACTTTGTCTCGGTGCTGAGTACCATTTGTGTGTCTGTAATGGGAAATGGCAGTTGTTACCAAAGGTTTTCCTAAGGAAAAGGGCTTGATCTGACCACGTGTGCTCATACAGACTCTCTGGCAAGGGAGAGAGTCAAATCTCATTTACCATCTGAGTAACTGCACTGTGAGCCTGCAGGAGCAAGCGCTGTCTCTGCCAGTGGGGGGTGGAGATACCCTGCAAGTACTGTTAAATTCTCAGGGCTCTGACAGCTCTTTTTTGATCCACCTCCAAGCTCCCTTTCACAGCAGGGAGGAGACCTGGCCCTTCTCTTTGTGCTTGCTCTGTCACTACACCAGAGTGGTCAGTATTTTGTTAGTGGAGAAGAGGCACAGCAAGAACCCTCAGTGCTCGACACTGAGTGTGTGCAACAAAGAACAGCCCTTGAGGTGGGGAAGCCACGGGCAGAAAGGTGAGCCCAGGTGCCTCAGCAGAGTCAGCAGCAGTTCTGTGAGAGATCTGATACAGGGAGGGAGTGTGGAAAGGTTTGAAAGAGACAAGTGTTCACAGAAGGGTAAGCTTTTTGAAAATCATCCAGAACCTATCTCAGTTCCTCTCTAGAGCAGCACCTGATTTTCTAAGCAATCCAGCAGCACCTCTTAGGTAAAGACCAGACTCTCATCCTGAGCAACAGTGCAAAGTATGCAATTTCTTAGCAACTGAATACAGACAGCAGTCAAGGGGGTCTCCAATTACCACCAGCCTCAGGTACTTTCTCACTACAGGACTGTCTGTAATTCTTCCTATTTGTCAAAGCTGACTCTTTGTGCTGTGATTGTGCTGCCCTTAAAAAAATGTTTGTGGAAGTGTGGTCTGTAAAACCCACAGTTTTTATTATGCCCATGGGTACAGTTTGAACCACAGGCTTTCTGCTTGGCATTAATACAAACAAATTCTCATGTATCACATGAAATTTGGAGTTATTTAGCATTTTGTTTTTCTACATCCTGCATTCATATGTCAAACTACAATAGCAGACCCTTTGAATGCATAGGGGGAAAAAGCTGGACTGTTTAAGGTAATATTTAAGCCTCTCATTGCTATCAAATAACAGAAAAGAAAACCCAAAAGGCTGAAAGAGAGATGATATATGATTAGGAAATGGTGCTCAAATTAAAAAAAGACTCCTTGTTGAGAGAGCCGGAGGTGCTGAATTCTGATGATGTTGAATGTTCTGGAGTTACTTTCTTTTGTGGTTTTGCTTTTTCCATATTCATGTTAGAACACCTCTTCCTGGACACCATTCTTCTTACAGCCTATTCAGGAATACTTGAACCATTAAAACTTCCATAAAACATTTGTGATTACCAACCTTTCTTGCTTTTGCCTGAATAATACCAATTTGACATGTAATATTGCCATTTGATAAATGCAGAGAACTATCCTGACTTTGCTCTTTCAAAGTATTTTTCAGCCAACCTGTGGTGCCTCTGCAGATACAACAGGTCCTGTAACTCTGTTGAAAACTGTAACTCCATTGCAAAGAGATTACAGAAGCTGAGTAAGTAGGCCTGGAGTGCCCCTGCTGAGTGAGAAGCCCCACAGCCAACCTCCTGTGTAGCATTCTCCAGTGACTGGGTTTTTTGGTGCATGAAATACTGTCTGTAACAAGCACAGTTTCTCAGCGAAGCTCCCCAGAGAATATCTGACCCCAAGGGGAAGATTTCCACCTGCAGCTGTGTACCACTCAGGGTGCTCCCAAGATGGCTTGAAAGCGTAGTGGTAGCTGCACCCTTTAGCTTCTCCAGCAGTCTCCAACCATCCAGGATGAGCAGCAGGAATGCTGACAGCAGTGCACCACAAGCTCTGTGTGGAGTGGCACTGTGCACACAGCCACTGCCATCAGACACCTCCACAGTGCTCTTACCCTGCTCTGACAGCAGTGTGGCTCACAGTGTCCCCAGGTGCTGGGTGACACTGGGGCAGCAGCAATGGTGCTGGTGACACCACAGAGCCCAGAGGACATGGCAACATGGGGGGCTCCTTATTTAAGATGGCTTCTTTTAATGAGTGTGCAATGAGCAATTAACTCACCTCCCTCTCTGCTGCACTTGGAGCAGCCAGGCCAGGGCAGGAATTCTGCTGGCCACTGTAAACTGCCAGCCCCCATCAGGTGTGGCTGCCCCGGGGGAGGCCCCTGGTACCCCCAGGCTGCCAAGCCCCCCGTGCATGGCACTGCTGGGGTGACACACAGCCAGCCCAGGGCTGTAACTTCAGTATTTCAAAGCACTCCAGGCTTTAAAATTTATAATATGTCTCTCTCTTCTCAGTGATGCCAACAAGTTTCATTTAAGTCTTACTGCCTTTTCTGTTTGAAAGACTATGGATTGGGTTTTTTCAGTGACATGTATCTTTTTACTTCTAAGTTAATGCTGAGACAAAGTCTGTGCCCTCAACTGACCCTGAGGCTATGGCTTCAGTGGAGTTCATTGGCATTTCTGACAATGCATTAGGCCTGTGCTACAGATACTGTGCATAAAGGCTGAATGCAGAACCACACATTATAACCTGACTATATATAGCCCCATTTTAATGCCCTTGCCATGAGGGGACTGTGTCAAGTAACCTAGGATAATATAAATTTCAGACAGATGTAAAGGCTTCTCTGTGCACATAAAGGTCTAGCAGAAAATTTACATGCACAGGGGCTCACCACCTTGTTTTGTTCTTTCTTTCCCAGCAGAGTTGGATTCTCCTCTAACACAGGGCTTGGGGGGTTTTTTTGAGCTCATTCACTCATGTCCCATCAGAAAATGGTGCTTTCCCAAGGAAACAAAGTCAAATCCCATTTTACTAGGCTGACTGCACACTGCCATCAAGTGATGTACTCTCGTTCTGGGATCTGTGTAGTGCTGAGTGTTTCCATAGCGTCAGGATGCTGAATGTTTGCTGTAACTGTAGTCTTTATTATGGAGCTAGTGAAAACCAACATCTTCTCTACTCAAGCCATATTTCACCTTCATGTCCAACTTCTGATGCTGGTGCTTTTACTTCTCTTTCTACCAAACTGTTCAACACTGCTCTGCCACTGAGGTCAATTTGCTGATAACTTTTGGAAAGCAAATGCAATAGCAAGTGCAAAAAAAAAAAATCAATCTCAGACTTATTCACCGAGATAAGAGCAAACAGTTGGAACGCATTGATGCTTTTCAATCCTAGCAACAATCTACTGAAGGAGGAAAAAAGAAACAGTATTGCTAACAGCTCAGCATTTTCAAGGTGCAAAGTAATTCCACAGCCTTAATTATTTCAGTGTATTGCTGGTCTGCCTTAAATGTATCTTCAGTTTTATTGCGGATTTCATTTTGTATGCACACAATGTCGGTTTGTAAAGGCAGGTTTGTAAATATTTCCTTTGTAAGTCTAATCACTCATGTGTACTGTTGTGAGGTGACTACTTGCTGTCCCATGTTGTTGTTACTATTCTGCAGTATATATGATCATCTACAGATGTAGCTTCAACCTGTACATCTCCTGTCCTTGCATTCCCATAAATAGAGTATACTCAAGACTCCATTTCTGGGCTTTTTTGATTAAATAAAATTATTCAGAGAAGACCGGGTCAATCTTATTTCACACATTTTTCTGAGCGAGGCCTTGCAGACTCGGGGCTGGCTGAGGGCATTATTCAGCTGTTTTCGGGGGGATCTCTCAGGGACCCAGCCCAAGGGACTGTCACCCTGGCTGCATCCACCGAGCGGCCTTTGGGAACCACCCAGGGAGCCGGCACGGCGAGAAACCCTCGGGTCACACCAAACCCTCTGCACCGGGGGCTTCTGCTTCCCGGGGAATGGGGTGACGAGAGAAAGGGGGATCGTGGAGGGACAGCGGGCCTCAGGGAGCAGGGCCGGGATGGCGCAGGGGCCGCCGCCTCAGGGAGGGGATTCGGGACGGCCACAGGGACTCCGGGGTGGCGGAGCCGGGGTTCCCGCCACAGGGAGAGGATGAGGTACAGGCCACACCACCGTCTCCCGTGTGTCACACGGTGTGCCCGCCCCGCGCCCCTCCCGCTCCGCATCATCTCCGTGCGCCGGGCCCGGCGATGGCGGCGGGGCCCGTGGGGGCCGTGGCGGCGGCGCTGAGCGGGGTGGGCGCGCTGCGCTTCGGGCACTTCGTGCTGAAGAGCGGCCGCTCCTCGCCCGTGTACATCGACCTGCGCGGCCTCGTGTCCCACCCGCGGCTCCTGCGGCAGGTGCGGCTCGGGGAGCCCCGGACCCGCCCGGGCCCCGCGTGTGCTCGGGGTGGCGGCTCCCTCACGGCCCGGGGGCAGCGGGATCGGCAGCGCTGCCGCGGCTCCCGCACGGTCGGCTCTCGGGTCGTGTCAGCAGAGGGGTGTTCACTGATTTAGTCACGTTCGCTCCAGCCTGGCTCTTAAGAAGCGTTTGGTTTTCCTTTCCAGGTTGCAGGACTCCTTTTCCAGGCAGCCCAGGATGCGGGGCTGCAGTACGACTGTGTGTGCGGCGTTCCGTACACGGCGCTGCCGCTCGCCACCATCATCTGCTCGGAAAATCAGGTGCCCATGCTCATACGGAGGAAGGAGGCAAAAGACTACGGTAAAGCCTTCAAATCAAGAGTTTGTAATTTACCGTGTTTGGGAAATGGCTTTATGTAATTTGTGGTTCTTTTGTAAGGCACAGCATCTCCCAGTTTAAGGTTACCATTGCAATCTAAGGAGGCCCTTTGCCCCCTAAAGCAAACTTCCCACAGCATTCCAGCCTGATCAGCCTCTCCCAGCTGGTTGCTGTTTAGCCTGCAGCTTTAGTCCTGCTGTGGGAGATTTGGAGACTCTTGAAGGGTGTTTTCTGATTCTTGGTTTTGTTTGTGAGAGTTGGTTTGTTTTCTTTAGCAATGTCTTTTTCTTTTTTTTCCTTGTTACCCTTGCTATGGTTCTGGATTAGTGGCCTCATCCAGAAATGAGGATTTATAACTCAGATTCTCCAGCTGAGACAAGAGCCACATTTCACTCTCAAACAGAGCTTTTTGCATATTAACACCAAAAAGAACCTTTCTAGTCTCTTCTTCATTTATTTCTCAAACCCCTTTTTCTTTCCTTATGCTGTGGTCCTGTAGTCAGTGAGCCAGGTGAGCAGCAGTCCCTTTTCTACTCAATGAACCATTTATTTGATTGTGATAAAGGATGTGGGAGAGCAGATTGAAGCATTGACCTGCCATATAACTGGATTTCTATGCATCCTCTTCCAACAGTGTGTAATTAGAAAGTGCACTTATCAAAGCTAAAAGCTGCTCCTGTGTCAGGCAGTGGGACAGCCATGGAAACGTTTGCTGTTCCTTCCTGTGAAGCACAAGCCAGTTGTGACAGCGATTAACTGCTCCTGGGAAAGCCAGGCATCCCTTTGTCGCTGCCCCCAGGAGGCCTTTCATGGATGTGTGCCTGTTGTTAGTTAGGACAAAGGCACTTGAGGCTTTACTCCTTCTAGTTGTTCTAACAGGCATATCAAGCACTCAGTGCTGCCTGTGGAAAACGGGACATGCTGAAGAGTGCCAATAACTTGGCTGCCTTAAAGATGTTTTAAATAACAAGAGAATAACTTTGTAAGTCTAAGCTTTCAAGTCATGACAATACTAAACTTCTGTCATCTTATTGAAACATTGGAATTTATGCTGTTAACAGTGTATCAGTTTTTTTTATGGAATATAACTACTGGAAACATAAAAGTAGTATTTTATCAGCTTGGAGAAGTAACAGTCTTTATGAACTGAATTACAGATCAGTGAGTGAGCTGTGGTAAGAACTGTGATAAGTGGTATCATCTAATAAAGTTTTTATTCTACTAAGGTTTTCTTGGGTTGTCCAACCTTTCCTAATTTGGTGGAGTGTTTGGTTTTTATTTTTCAGGTACTAAGCGGATGGTAGAAGGCACCATTAATCCAGGAGAGACGTGTCTGATCATTGAGGATGTGGTGACAAGTGGATCCAGTGTACTGGAAACTGCAGAAGCTCTCCAGAAAGAAGGATTGAAAGTCACAGATGCCGTAGTGCTGTTGGACAGGGAGCAGGGTGGGAAGGCCAGGCTAGAGGAACACGGAATTCGCCTGCACTCTGTGTGCACCCTGTCTGGGGTGCTGGAGGTTCTCCAGCAGCAGGGAGAAGTGGCTGCTGAGGTGGTTGAAAAGGTGAAGAAATTCATAGAGGGAAATGTGTTTGAGGCTCAGAATGGTGCTGCTCCTGGGAAGAGGCTCTGCAAGGAGCTGAGCTTCAGCGCTCGTGCCCAGCTGCCAGGGGTGCATCCTATTGCAGCCAGGCTTCTCATGCTCATGGAGAAGAAGCAAACCAACCTGTGCCTTTCTGCTGATGTCACCAGCCCCAAGGAGCTGCTGGAGCTAGCTGCCACCCTGGGCCCCAGCATCTGCATCCTGAAGACTCATATAGACATCCTGAATGACTTCACCCAGGAGGTAGTAAAGGAGTTGAGAGCGCTCGCAGATCAACATGAATTCTTGATTTTTGAAGACAGGAAATTTGCAGATATTGGAAACACAGTGAAACACCAGTATGAAGGTGATTATCATCAAGCTGGATTTACTATAACTTTGCCTCTGGTGTGTAATTTCATTACTGGTACAGGTTGCCAGGAGAGAGCGTGGAATCTTCAACCCTGGGAAATACTCAAGGGGATAAGACCCTGAGCAATCTGACCTAGCACTGAAGTGAGAGGGCATGGCCTCCTGAGGTCCCTTCCAACCTCAACTTTTTTATGAATCTGTGGCTGTGCTTAGTAAGTACTTCTGAGTTATGTGCCATGAGAAACTGCTGCCTGCTGTTACTGTACTGCTTGTGTGCCCAGCATGGCTTTCTTTTGATACTCCATCTGCAGCTGTAGAACTGCTGTTCTTTCTCCTGATCCTTATGATCTGCGTGCTATCAGGGAAGATAAAGATAGCACCTGTGACAGCACATTTCTGGGCTACCATAAAGTCTCAGTAAATATTAAAGGTGAGACACTAAGCAGTGTTTGTGAAAAGTAAACTCGGAGATTACGCTCGGCGGTTAGGCAGCTGTCAGAACGGTCTGATGAGACTGAACTTGTAACACTCAAGCTTCACCAGTAAAACTGTCTTTTAAATATGTCAGTGATAAGGTGTGCAGCTGTTTCTGTCTAACTTGTCTCCCTGTTTAGCAATTTCTGATGCCTCTTCCTGCCCGTGCTCTCTCTCAGGTGGCGCGTTCAGGATCGCATCCTGGGCAGACATCGTCAATGCCCACGTGGTTCCAGGCTCGGGGGTTGTGAAAGGCCTGAAGGAAGTGGGTCTGCCCCTCCAGCGTGGCTGTCTCCTGGTGGCAGAGATGAGTTCCCAAGGCTCCCTTGCAACAGGGGAATACACAAAAGCTGCAGTAAGTGGGCAGTCTTGTGTCAGGTTAAAAGCTTGTAAAGTGTCACAGGGAGGTTTTGTGTGTTTCTAATATTTGCACTTCCAAAAGTCCCTCCAGCTCTTAACTATTGCAGGTGTTTGTTTTTTCCTTGGAGACTCAGGAACATGACTGTGTGGTGTTTAAAGGTTGCAGCTGTAGGTAGTGATGTGAGGTGGTCAGAGTTCACACTGGGAATTTCGTACACATTGCATTTTCTATTAGTACTCTCCCCTTAGTTTTTTCATTTCTTTCTTTAAGCAGTGCATTTCTAATTATTTTAAATCCATTTGCAATATTATTTAGAACATAGAAAGAAACATAATATTCACTTTACATTGGAAAAGCAAGTGACTTTACATTGGAAAAGCAAGAGGTGTTTCATACCCCTGCTTCACACAGCTTGAAGTGTCAGAGGGTGGATGAGAAACAGATTGCTAGGCCAGCTGAGTTTTAAGTATATCATTTTTAATTGTTCACTGATCTTTTTCAGGTACAGATGGCTGAAGACAACTCAGATTTCGTTTTTGGATTCATATGTGGATCTAGAGTTAGTAATAAACCAGAATTTCTTCACTTAACCCCGGGAGTGCAGCTGCAAACTGGAGGTAACTTTTTCTGAAATACTTTTAGATTATTATTTTTATTTCTGAAATATCACTTCTGTTTGTAAGTACAGAAGTGGTCTAGTCTCCAGTGAAAAAGTAGCTTCTGAAGAGGGTTTGGAATGCTGGTTCTCAGCTGGGAGGAGAGGAGTCTGCTTCCCACTAAGGGCTGTCTCCCATATTTCTGGATATGCTGATCCCTTTCATGGGAGCTCTGGAAGGCAGTGAGCAGGCTATACAACCTTTTTTTCTTGTTTTGAGGTCTGTGCATACCATAAAGCACATTCCTGAAAACATGTAAAATGTCTTCAGATAGGTGTTAGATCAGATGTAAAACTATTCAGTAGTAGTAAAAAAACATACAACAAATAGAGAAGTCCAGCTGAAACACTTGCTATTGATATAGATGCAGTATCAGTGAATAGAAAGGCTTGTGCTGACTGAAAATGTTATCATTGAAGCAGATAGAGAAGATATGTTTCTCTGCAATACTTTATTTTTATGAGACCTAAACTGAAATCAGAAGCTTTTACATTAATGTTTGGGGGTTTTGCCTGCTTTAAGAAGGCTGAGGATTATTTTAGTAATCCTGATTGGTGCTTCTTTGAATAACTGTTCCATCTATAATGACTGGTAAACCATGAGAAAGGAGGGTGCTGGCTGTCAAATTTGCTCTGTTTTTTGGCTGGCCATGCAATTTCTGGTTCTGTTTGTGGATTGTTAGGGTGAGAGCTGGGATGGGGGACCTGTTTTGTGTTCCCGCACCTCCCTGGAGGTTTTTAGCACATGCAGTTTTGTACAAACAAAAAGAAATGGTGTCTGTATTTCAGGTGACAACCTTGGACAGAGGTACCTGAGCCCCAAGGAGGTCATTGGTGAAAAAGGCTCAGATGTCATTATTGTGGGACGGGGCATCCTGGCAGCCTCAGACCGTGCCCAGGAAGCAGAGAAGTTCAGGAAGGCAGCGTGGGAGAGCTACCTGAGCAGGCTGGCTGCTCCTGCAGAGGATTGAAACCACAAAGCCACACACTGCCCTAGCCAGTGAGCAAAGCTGATGGAGCTGCAGCCCTCATGAGGGGTCCAGTTAAATACGTGGACACTTCAGCCTGTAGAAAACTGCCCTTTTGGAGAAAAATCTATTGCAGAGTTGTTTTAATTGTACACACAGAGGTCAAATTGTACTTGCCATTGTTGTTTTTTGATATTTGAATGTAAGAACCCAGAACTTCATGCCAAATTTTTAGCCTTAGTGGGATTTCTTGTTTGAAAAACATTGCACAAAACACTCCAAGGGTACTTTTGGCTGTTGTTGCCTTCGTCTCTTTTCCCCACCTCAAATTCTTTCTGGCTGTGGAAATTATATTTTGTTATGTTCTTAATAAACTGCATCTGCACGCTGGATGTGCTGCCCCACCTTCCTAGGTTTATTCAGCTCTCCTGTTTCCAAGGAGCAAGTGCAGGTTATAATGCCACATTGAAATAGAATTATGTTTAATAAATATTTTTGCTACCATTTTCATTTTCACTGACTCTATATGTCTTTGTTCTGTGGCAGAAATATAATAAAAAGTCATTCTGGTGTGTCTGTGACTGCAGGAATTGCTCATGATTCTGTTTACAGAATTTGTCAGAGCAGTTAGTTGTGTGCTTAATTACAGTGCAGCTGTTGATTAAATGAAATAAAAATACACTTTATTAGACTTCTTGTGACAATAGCTGTTAATACTTGCAGGCTTTACTTTCCACTGTACATAGTAAATAATAAGAAATAGAAATACCTTACATGATTAGTTTAGAGTAAAGTGTATCTAGCATATATGTGGTGCAAATAGCAATGAAAATTTTCTTGAGCAAGAAGTCAGAAACCTGTGGTGATGCAGTTCTGGACTGTTGCTGTTCCAGAGCACATGGAAAGCTGGGTCCTTTTGTTAATACACTTGCATCTAGACTAGGAACAACTGTGTTTAGTGAGGGTTTTGACATTAGTGCTGGGCTCTTCATCAAGTCTTTGTAAACAGGAGACTGGAGAGGCTTTTCTGGAGGAGGTTTTTTTGATTGGTTTAACTTGTGCAGGATGTCTAAGACCAAGGGCCACAGGTTGGCATCTGAGGGCTTTGCTTTATCCCTCCTGTTTTAGTGACTAAATGCTCTTTCATGATTCAGCTGCTTGTGGGGCCTAAGATGTGGAGAGAATGTTAGAACATTGTTTGTGTTATTTTCCTTGGGGCTATCAGTTGCTTCAGTAGGATTATGTATCATAATTCACACGTGGAGAATTCCACCCTGTGGAAGATGGAACTTGTTGATTGTGAGGTATCCTGGTCAGACACCCTGCAACAGTGAGTGGGATGGAATATTTCACATCAACGTCTAAGAAGTTCCAGTCCTTCAGAGTGAGCAGAGGATTTTGTTTGCTGTTATCTCATGGCCCTGAGGCCTGTAGCACAACAAGACTTCCTCGCTTAGACCTGTCTGCAGAAAATTGCTTTTTCCACCAGAGGGAGCTGAGACTCTATTTTTGGGGAGCGTTAATGTTCTGCCGTTTTTACAGCTTCCAATAATTTCCAACTCTAGATAATCCTCAGAATGAAAATCTCTGGTTTTTAACAAGTTGCACCCTTGCTGCTGGGTGTATTTAAAACATTTAAATGCCATTCTAACATTTAAAGCAGTGTTCTAAAGCTGATTTAGAACAATGGTTTATCAGAAAGCTGCCTCAGGCTGAGGCTCAGCACAGTGTGTTGTTGTGGGCTCACTGTTACAGCACAAGCAGAATTTCATGAGTTCAGTATTTTCCACTAACTCTGCTGAATCGTGTTTAAGCATGTGGCTGACAGCCGTGGAGCTGAATCCCTGAGCAGGCTCTTTGGAGAGCGAGTTTATCAGGCTCCTGCTTAAAAAACAGCAACTGGATTTGGCAAGATGAATGTGATCTAATATCCTGTCACTTTTGGAGGGTACGTGCAGCTCCCTTTCTTTACAAAGCGAGTTCTGAGGAAGGGATCAATTGGGAAACTTCATTTCACAGCCCTTTTTGTGCCCTCCAGAAAGAGCTGTGTTCTGGCACTTCGTGTGACACCACTGCTGCAAACATTTCAATTAGTGAAACAAAAACGTGTTACCTCCTATATGCATTCTTCTGTCAGAATGATTATAGTAAACAAGTGTGTGCACTGCCTTTGAGGCACCTGAAAGTGATTAAAAATCCATTTCAAATTAAGAACAAATGTTAATTTCCTTGCTTGCTCCTGCTGCTTGCATTCATCACACAGTCCCTGCTGTTGGTCCCAACTGTTCCTAACATGGGAACTAGGTCACAATTTACAAAACTCATTTGCATCATAATATATGAATCTGAAACTCTTGCAGTTCATTCTGTGATCTGATTGAGCCTGTGGTAGAGGCATAAGGCTATATTTAAATTTCTCAATTTAATGTTAACTGGCAGTAGGCATTTATATGAAATTGTGATCCTTACCCATTCTGGAGTATGGTTTATAACAGAATGTAAGGAAATCACTCTTTTCATAGTGAAATAAGATTGTGACCAAGTGTTGTCAGTGCTTGCAGCAGAAAGCTGCCTGACTTGCTGCTATTTATGAGCAGCAGCTCCTGAGAATTGTGAGACCAGCACAAGCTGCAACCTCTAAGGAATTGTTACGTAGCTGTTGATATTTGTGTGCAAAGTCCACTCTGTCTTGGAGGTTGTGGGTATCTGTGTCAAGAGAACCCAGCCAGGGCACTTAAATCAGTCTAACTGCATAAATACAGTGCTTTACTCAGACTTAAAATCCTTGCAAAATCTTGATAAACCCACGGCTGAATTAAAACCAGCCAAGTTAAACCAGCAGCATCCTTAAAAGTATTATTTGTATGTCACAGTATCAATGTTGCTTTATTAATGGTTAACTGACAGCTCATATTATAGTTTCCATAGCCTAGTCTATGAAAATTTATTTGAAACTTAATCCCAGAAAAATAACTGAATCACTTCCCTTTAAGTTTATGTGGAAAGCCTGTTGCTGTGGATTTTTTTAGTAAGAGACACAAACATTGCGTTTAGAGAATAGCACCAAAGGAATGTGAAACACCCAGAGGAAGTTTGTTTTCAGATCTGACTCTTGGAGGTCACTGTCTCAGGGAATGGTCTGTTTTGGAAGACTGGTGATTGGGCTGTGGGCTAGACATGCTGGATTATTTGTTTGTTTGTTTGTTTGTTTGTTTACTTGTTTGTTTGTTTGTAACCATGCTGGTGGATCTTGGTCAGTCTGTACCACAGTGACAAGTACTGCTCTGAATGCTGCAAGAAATTAAAACTGGGTTGGCTTTGTCCTCAGTCTTGGTTCTCTGTTCCTACATGACCCATGTGCCCTCTGAGCACTCTCTGATAAGCTGTGTGAGCCACAGCCTGGCTGTGGACGTGCAGGGCTGTAGGTGGAGGCTGCCAGGACAAAGGACAGGGGGAAGCAGGGCTGTAACTGTGCATGAGGTGGTGGTATGTCATAGGCTGTGTAAGCTGGAATACAGACTTGATGCTAGTATTGATTGCAGCTGCTGTGGAAATCCCTGTTTGCTTTCTGGTAGTAATTTGCAGCATCTTGTGGAGTAGATCTACTTGTTTTGCCAACTGTAACTATACTTGCCTTGACAGTAGTAAACTGTAATGATTAAGAGAAAATAGTAATAAATCCTCTGTGTCCTTGTGCATGGCAGAGTCAGGCATACTACAAACAGTTACAATCTTTGCAGACTCACCAGCCAAGTAATCCTTCCAGATTGTGGCATTAATTGGTGTCAGAAGTGTGGATCTATGATAAACAGGTCATGGATGCTTGGGAGAAGGTAGTAGGAAAGCAGTGAAAATTGCAAGATGCTTGTAGAAAACTCCTCTGTGGGACAGGGATAAAGTGTTTAAGAATTGGTTGAATTTGTAAAGGCTGCAAACTGAGTTTCAGAAGTGACAGAACGCTCAAATGCAAAGCAGAGAATAGCAAGGGGCCCTTCATCAGGCTTCTCACAGAGGTGTCAGCTGTAGGTGCTTTGTTTAGCACTGCTAGGCAGGAACTGGCAGCTTTGCAGCAAGCTAAGGATGCAGAAGTGTCAGCAGTTCCCTTTGAATCCCATGGCTTTGTTGCAAACCAATTAGTTAAAAACTGCCCTCAGCCATCTAGACCTATGGCACCTACAGCAGAAGCCTATTGCCTGGTCTCAGAGCCAATCACTGAAAAGATGTATACTGAAAATGGAAAATGAGGAGGAGGCCTTGATTCTAGCAGTGAGTCTTCCTTCCCCTCTTCATTGCCCAAGCATTGTCCAGATAATGCAGCCTCCTTGTATCCTGACATTAAAACTTCCCTGGGGGCTCCTCCTGGCTCCTGCTGGACAGGAAGGTCCCGCTGCCACCCAGGGTCACAAGAACTTCTAGGAATTTTCATGCAGGACAGCCAAAAGCCTCCTGAGGACTGGGTGGATGGGTGGTTACCAGCTGGGGGTGGAGCAGTGATCCTTCATCAGGCTGAGGCTGGACAGATATTCCTGACAAGAAGAATATTTCTCCTAAACACTGATGCAGAGGCCAGAGTGAATATCTTCTCCCTGTTATCCATAATAAATGTTTCTAGAAAACATTTGTTGTGTTTTCTGGGAGTGTGGGGCTGTCTCCTTCCCCCTCCCTCTAGTAGTCTTGATGGATGCTCGGGCTGGACAATGCTCAGGATTTCCTTAAGGAACAGAGGCAACACCCTGGGACACGATGGTTGTGCCAACAACAGCAGCAGGGAAACTAAAATTCTTGCAAGATACAGCATCCAGACAGACCAGAAAAACCTGGCCTTAATGTTACAGCATGAAATGTGGCACTGAAACACCATAGTGACTTGGAAGGGCTGGAAAATTGACAGTTCTTAGGGGAGGCAACAAGGACAGGGAAGCACTCCCAAAGGGAAGCTCAGGTCAGGGTCATCCAGAGGCTTAAAGGAGCTCAGAGTAATAAGAATAAGGGACAAAATGCTTGAAATGCAATAGATCTGACACAAAGTGGCCCCCTGCAAACAGGAACATGATCTGGAATGCAGACACTGAGGGCATCTCCTGCAAGGAAAAGCAGGCTGGCTACAGGAGATGCCCACGGTCACCTTGCAAAGACTCTGGGATGGGCACAGTGGGGGTGGCACCAGCACACTGCAGGCAGGGAACGAGCCCCTTCCCCTCTCAGGAAGCTGCTGAGCACAATGAGGTCTTTCCCCAGCCTCATTTTCTCTAAACTAGAAAACCTGGAGTCTTCTGAATGCATTCAAGGATCTTAACATCATTCTTAAATTGTGGGGCCCCACAATTTACACAGTATATGATTCAATTGCTTTTAGTCCTCATTACTGAAATCCCTTCTTACCAGGGCTTGCAACTCAAACTTCACAGTTAAATCACCTTTATAACAACACAGAAATTTATACATTCTCATTAACTACTGTCCCCTGTCCTTTAAAAGACAGTTACAACTCCCAGGTCTCCACTCCTCCAGATGTCATACTGATTTGGCAAGTTGGCATGAATTGAAACAACATCATGAGCATTTGGCCTTTTTATAACTTACATTATGCACACTATGCCTTGTCACTACATTATTGTTTGTTCCTTATTTCAAGGATGGAATAGTGATCACATTGTACAATTTATGAATATAATTTCTTAAGCAGGCAACAAATTGGATTGTTGGCATTCCTTATACCATCCTTGATCATTAGATGCCAAATTTTGAGGCTCAGCAGAAACTGTCTCTGAAGCATCTTGGTGTCAACCTAATTTTGCATACTTAATTCCCCAATACACCAAATTATCAATAACAACAACCTTTAAAGCACATTCATATGTTGAGGTCCCATAGTCCATTATAATGCCCCAGGATACAGATTCAGTTTGGGTGAGGAAGACAAGCAACTATAATTACACTTTGTGCTACAATCACACCCAAGTGTGGTTTCGGTGTAAATGGGACAGAGCACAAGCTTGTATTGATTCTGGAAACTTCATGGACCTGAAATAATGAATCAGCAAATACAAACAAAAGAGGTTTTAATGGACTCTGGCATTTTACATGGAATGTTAATAACATGAATTCTCAAAGATACTGTAATCTCACCAGTCCTAATTCTACATGCTGCTGTCATCAGAGTTGGCTTAGTACTAATGATAATTGGGACATCTATGACCCAAGCAATACAACTGTCTGTATAGATCATAACCTCTATTCAGCACTCTCATTATAACAAAATTGAATTTTCTTCCTAATCCATGTTTTTCTAATTCATTCTACAAACATAACAATGACCCTGGGTGAAGCTGGTGGCCAACTTTTTAACCCCTGGATGGTTCTGTTTTTGTGGCACTAGGAGGTTACCACCACAGAGGAGAGACACTTGTAACACAGCACATCTCGCTCCTTAGGCACTCCCATCTCAAGTTCTGACATTTCACTTTCAACACAACCATTACCCTGTAGGTAATCAAGGCAGAGTGTTTAACATTGTACTAACAGGTCCATGAGGTTTGCAGAATCAATACAGGCTTGTGTTCTGTCCCATTTACATCATCATTTATTGACTGTGCCAGATGAAAATAGAAGTCAGCAGCACCTATTGGCTGCTCCAAGTGCTGGTGTCCTATGCCTGGTTATGGATCTGTGGTATAAAAAGGACTTACTTTGTACCCCAAATGGAGCCTCTTTCTCTGGTGCCTCCCAATGTGCACAAATCCTTGTTCCCAGTGGTAGTTCCTTGGCAGAGCAGACCCTCACTGGGGATGCCAGGCTGACTCCAGGTTCTGTGACTCCAGGTTCAAATTGGTTGAATTTGGCTGGGTGCCCACTGAGCCTCTCTCTCTATCCCCTTCCCAGCAGGACATGGAGAGAATAAGATGGAAAACAACTCGTAGGTTGAGATAAGGCAGTTTACTAAAGCATAAAAATAGACAATTGAAAGTTTGCATGTGCATGAGCAAAGGAAAAAGTCAATCTCTACTTCCCATCAGCAAGAGATGCTCAGGCACTTCCCGGGAAGCAGGGCTGCAGCACGCGTGGTGGTGGCTCCAGAAGGCAAACACTGCAGAGTAACAAATGCCTCCCTCATCCTCCTCCCTCCCTTAGCTTTCATATCTGAGCTGACATCACATGGTATGGAATATCCCTTTGGCTAATTTGGGTCAGCTGGCCTGGTTGTGTGCCCTCCCAGGACCTTGCCCACTCCCAGTCCCTTGATGGGGAGGATGTTGGAGGGACAGGTCTGCTCAGCATTATCCAAAGCACTGGTGTGTTATCAACACCTTTCCAGCTCCTGCTGCAAAGCACAGCACTGTGAGGGCTGCTAAGGGAAAATGAACTCCATCTCAGTCCAGTCTCACACCCTTATTCCGTGCACTGCCCACCCCTCATTCCATACCATTTGTGTCACACTCAGATCCCACATAATTTATATATCTTCCAACTGTTCCACTGTATTTATTTCTCATTACTGGAATGCCTTCTTGCCCACACATACAACTTAAACTACATCCTTAAACCATCTCTATATCAAACATACATTTTCATTAACCATTATCCCCTGTCCTTACAATGAATATACTATTTTTCCATTTCATGGGCTTCTTTCATCCCTCCAGATCCATGACTTGGGCTCCATTCCATCAGGATGAGTGATCAGGACTGAAGCAGGACACTTGATTGTTGGGCACTGACACCAGCCTGGCTCTGGTTGTCGTTGCATTCTTCTTGCTCCTCACAAAATTCATTCTTCATCAGTTTTTTGTCATTTCTGCTACTTCCTGCAACATACAACTCACACCACAGATTATTTCCCCCCCAAGGTTAAATCTCCTTGAGGTACACACCAGGTCTCCCCATGATTCTTCATCACCCTCCAAGTACACACAGGTCCTTGGGCAAAGACAATCCCACGCATGGGCTTGCCTTTTCCCATAGGAGGAGAAATTCACACTGACATTCCCACTTCCCTGTGTGGGCAGGGACTTTATTTCCTCCCACAGTATGTAGGGGTTTCATTTGGGCAGGACCAGGGTGGTTACCAGATCCCCTAGGGTTGACTAGCCAAGTGGCTTCTGCTAAATTTGCATCCCAGTGCTTCCATGGCCCATTACTTTATACTCTTTACATAGTTTTCAGTAGTCCATTATACCTTTCAAACTTCCCAGAGGCCTGTGGTTAATAAGGGATGTGATATATCCACTCAATGCCATGTTTCTTTGCCCAAGAGTTTATCAGTTTATTTATAAAGTGAACCCCATTGTCTGATTCAATCCTCTCTGTAGTACCATGTTGCCACAAAATCTGTCGCTCAGGGCCTGGGATCTCAATGTCTCTCAAGCAGTTTTACAGGGGATGTTTCCAGGCAGCCAGCTGTTGCCTCTACCATGGTGAGGATGTAACTCTGGCCTTGGTGTATTCATGGCAACAGCCCAATACAGCCAATTTTTTAGGCCTCACCCTACTGGAACCCCAGCCACCATCCTCTCTTCCAAGGAGACTCCACTTGTGTGGCTCCTTGATTGCAGCACATTTCACATTCATATATAACCTGTGGGGCACCTCTTGGCTGCCTTTGACTGCAGCTCATATTGAATTTCCAACATTGTCAGGCACAGCAGCACTCACAGGTGGATCATTCAGGCCCAACAGTCCACTGCTGTCAGCCTCCATTCCCCACCAGACTCACACAGGGTGAGCAGGTCCTGCTGAGCACTCCTTGGCTCTCCAAGGACTAATGGATGGAGGTTGCAGAGTCTTGGTTGGTAAGATACTGCTGCTGCTGCACAGTCCTGGCAGCAATTGGCACTTGCTGGTCTTCATTCAACCTGCAGCAATCCTACAATGGAGGGATCTTCTGAGAGGCCAGGCAGGGTGGATAACTCTTTGATCTTCTCTGTATTCACTGTAGCTACACTAAAAGCCCATGGACATCCTTTAGGATCCTTGAAGTATCCAGCTGATGCCAAGGATACAAGGGGCCTCTGAGGCAGTCACAGCCAGAGCCAGCATCATTCCCACTTGTTCCCTGCTAAGCTCACCTTGGCCTCTAACACAGAAAACTCCTGGCATGCCCGTCACTCCAAAGATCCAGATGGATTCTACACTCCTGTGTATTCATGGCATCAATGTACAGTCTATCTGCTAAAGCTTTGCACTTCTATGGATCCGATGTGCCAGGCCATCAAACCCACACAGTCCAGTATGCCTGGTCATCCCTCTCCTCCTCCTGGCCAGAGGCAGGGACTCTCTACTCCTGTTCCTGGTCAGAGTATTCACTGTCTGACCTTTGCGATGCCAGGTCAGAAGTCCCCTCATCGGGGTGAAAGGAAGCGATTTTAGCTCTTTTATGTCTGGGAAATCGCTGATTGCCTTCTTGTCTCTCTGTGGCAACCACACTGGCACTCTTCTTGGGTGACCCTTTAACAGCCTTCTTCCCTCTCAGCTCTCGGACACGGGCTTCCAGCTTGAAGGTGGGCTCACCCACCCACTTCCTCATGTCCTCCCCCTGGTCCCGCAGGAAGAACCAGAGCTCCCCACGGGGCCTGCGCTTGGGGCTCCCCTTCCCTCGCACCGGGGAAGGAGAGGACCGATCCCGTGGGCTGCCCCTAAAAGCTGGGCTGCTGGCTTGGAGGGACGAGGAGGTGCCCAGAGTTTCTTCCACATTTCGGAGCCAGGAGGAGGCAATCTCCACGGTTGGTGTATCCATTTGTGGGTGGTACAGGGATACCAAGCTGCTGGAATATGATGCAGGGGCGCTTTGAACCACCTTCCTCCACATGGCCATTGTGCAAGGGGCATCCTCTGGATCTTCAGGGACTCTGTCAATTTTTAGATCACTATAGACGATTTCCAGCACTGCTAATTCTCTCAGGTACTGGATACCTTCATCTGCAGTGGTCCACTTCCCTGGGGAGTTCACCAGATCTTCCTTAAATGGGTATCTTGCCCTCACGCTTGAGAGGAGCCGTTTCCAGAGGCTGCAAATTGCTCCTTCCTTTCCAATTCCTCTTTCAATTTCCCGATCTTTAGCAAGGGATCCCAGCTGCTGGGCTTCATGGCCTTCCAGCTGCTGTCTGCCAGCCCCATTGTCCCAGCAGCGAAGCAGCCAGGCAGAAATGGGCTCACCTGGCTGTCGGCTGTAGTCTTTGCGCAGGTCTCGGAGCTCTGACGAGGTCAGGGACCGAGTCACTTCGGTTTCCTGTTTGATTTCCCTCATCCCTTTGTATTTCCTTGTTGAAGGACCTGCCTCTTGATCCAACCCCTCCTTTCCTACTGTTACTTCCCCTTCTTCCTCTTCTTCTTCTTCCTCCCTTACTAATCGATGGAAAGGGTGTGTCACTTGCCTTGTCCATTTTTTTGCTTTCGCTTCTGGGGCAGTTACTGTGGCTGCTGTGGTTTGAGTCCCTGACTCAGCCATAGTGTCCTCCAATGCAGTCTGGGTTCCTGCCTCAGCTACAGTCCTCTCAGAGTACTGAACAGTGGCTCGGTAGGCACAGGCCAGGCCCCAGTACAGGGCAAGAAGCTGCTGGTGTTCAGTGGGGTGGGCAAGGCACCCTTCTATCAGCTCATGGGTCAGTTTGTCAGGCTTGGTTACCTGTTCAGGTGTAAAGTCCCAGGCAATGGGAGGTGAAAACCGCCCTAGGAACCTGCCCAAATCCTTCCATGCACCTTGCCACCCAGGAACTGGATACCCCGGGGCATCTTTAAATATCTCCTCACCTAAAGTTTGTTTTTTCCTACCCCAGGATGATGCCAGATTCCATGAACTCCATAGAATGCCAATAGTATTAGCTAATATTATTAAGAGTATTAAATGGCTTACATAAGGATGAGCAAAGACCATGGGAGCCTGCATTATAAAAGCATTCACATCAATTACCGTGCACAGAACATAGCTCCCCACACACAACAAGGCCATCAGTGTAAGAGCAAAGCACAGAGCCATTGTTTTTTTTAACATGTTCCCAAACTCAGCAAAATAAAGAGATAAGCAGCGCAGCTCACAAACTCCTTGCCGTGTACGAGAGCTTGCTACTCCATAACTACGATTTACTTTTTACTACAGCATGCAATACAGAAATATATATATATATATATATATATAAAACTGCCTTTATCTCACCCCACTATTGGGCAGTAGTGTGCTGACCTTGGCCAGGCCCCAGGTGCCCACTGAGCCTCTCTATCTCTCCCCTTCCCAGCAGGACATGGAGAGAATAAGATGGAAAACAACTCGTAGGTTCAGATAAGGCAGTTTACTAAAGCATAAAAATAGACAAGCAAAAGTTTGCATGTGCATAAGCAAAGGAAAAAGTCAATCTCTACTTCCCATCAGCAAGAGATGCTCAGGCACTTCCCAGGAAGCAGGGCTGCAGCACGCGTGGTGGTGGCTCCAGAAGGCAAACACTGCAGAGTAACAAATGCCTCCCTCATCCTCCTCCCTCCCTTAGCTTTTATATCTGAGCTGACATCATACAGTATGGAATATCCCTTTGGCTAATTTGGGTCAGCTGGCCTGGTTGTGTGCCCTCCCAGGACCTTGCCCACTCCCAGTCCCTTGATGGGGGGGATGTTGAAGGGACAGGTCTGCTCAGCATTATCCAAAGCACTGGTGTGTTATCAACACCTTTCCACTCCCACTGCAAAGCACTGCACTCTGAGGCTGCTAAGGGAAAATGAACTCCATCTCAGTCTCAGACCCAATACACAGTCCAAGTGAGACTTTGCCCATGGTCAGCTGGCCCCACTGCTGGGATGGGCTTGACAAGCACTTGGCACCAACAACAATCTATATAGTATTTTATATATGTATGTATGTATTTATAACATTTTACATATGTATGTGCACATACACACACACATATATATCTATATGCACACACACATATATACAGGCCTGCATATAGTCACAGAATCATTTAGGTTGGAAAAGACCTTCAGAATCATTGAGTATATATTTTTAGTCTGTTCTGCCATCCAGTAACCCCAGGAGCTGAACACACAGAAGGAGGGTTGCTGCCTTTCTGAGCACACTGTCTGTTGTTCAAATACCTCCAAAGTGAACCATGACCTCTTCACTCCAAGTAAGCAAGGGTTAGATTAGGATCATAAAACCATAGAACCATTTAGGTCAGAGAAAACCCTTATGCTCATTGAATCCCAGTGTCACCCCAGCACTGACAAGTCCACCACCAAACCATGTCTCAAAGTGCTGCATCTACTTGCCTTTTAAACACCTCTGGGTTTGTTGACTCCACCACTTCCCTGGGCATCTTGTTACAATCCTCGACAACCCTTTCAGTGAAGATATTTTTCCTAATATCCAATCTAAGCCTCCCCTGGTACAACTTGAAGCCATTTCCTCTTGTCCTAAATAATAACTACTGGTAAGTATTTTTGCTGTTTTACTAGTGTTAATTTTATGTTGACTTGTAAAAGTGAAAATAGACTTACTACTAATATTCATTTCTGATAATATTGATTTCTGCTGCTGTTGAAATATATATTTGCTTGAGCTGGTTTTGGCTAGGATAGAGTTAATTGTTTTCAGAGCAGCTAGCACAATTCAGATTTTTGCTGGAAACAGTGTTGATAATACAGAGATGTTTTAGTTACAGCTGAGCAGAGCTTACACAGATTCAAGGCCTTTTCTGCTCCTCCTCCCCCAGCGAGGATGCTGGGGGTGCACAAGGAGCTGGGAGGGGACACAGCCAGGACAGGTGAGCCCCACTGACCACAGGGATGCCCCAGAGCATCATGCTCATCACACAGAACTGGGGGAACAAGAAGGAAGGGAGGTACCTTCACAGTCATGGTGTTTGTCTCCTCAAGTCACTGCTTTGCATGAAAGAGCTCAGTTTTCCTGGGACTGGCTGAAACCTGCCAGCCAGACTCTGAAGGAATGAATTCCTTGTTTTGCTTTTCTTGCATACAGCTGAGGCTTTACTTATGGGACTGTCTTTATCTTGACCCATGTTTTCTCACTTTTTTTTACTCTTCTGATTCACTCCCCTGTCCCACTGTGGCAGAGTGAGAGAGTGGCTGTGTGGGGCTGAGTTGTCAGCTGGGGTTAAACCACCACAGCCTTACAGTAGTTACTCATAGCATAGATACACTTGTTTTGCTAATCACCAGTATGCTTGCCTTGATAGTGGTGACTTGCATTAAAATACAATGAAGTACATTAGGAAATTAAGCCTCCAGGTCCTTGTGCACACAGGGTCCTGCAAGCCCATGGTTACAACCTTTGCCCTCACACAGACTGGGTGATGCTGGGTCATGGCAGCTGAATGGACAAGTTTCTGATCTGGCTGCATCCTGTAGACACCAGCAGAAACTAGTGGGCATGCAGAAAGGGACAGGATGAAATAAACTCCTGTGTCTCTGCTGCGTAGTTGTGACCTTTGCAGGCTGGCAGTGCAGAGGAGAACAATTCCAGTTCCTGTGTTCAGGTATGGAGATGGTGCTGGGATATGCTGCTGGGCTGCAGATGCAGGGAGTTACCTCACTGTGGCATTTCCTGCAGGCAGCTTAGTGATCCTTTTCTCAACACTGGAGCTCCTTGGCTTGCCACTTGGCTGGAGAAATGCGAGGTTAAATAAGTTCAAGAGTGTGGAGCATTCATCTTCCAGAGCCTGGGCTTTGCCTTCAGCTGCTGAGCACCTTCTTGTTCTGCTGTAAAGGGCAACAAGGAAGCAGGCAGGCATGCCTCACTCAGGCTCGTGTAACAGAGAACAATTTCACTGCACCTCCACAATTAACAAAACAAATCATGCTGCCATTGGCCTTGACCTTTCCCAAGGAATGGTGCTGTCTCCTAACCCAGAGCAGCAGCACAGGGAAAAGGCACTGGTGAGCCCCAGCAACCCTGTAGCAGCAGCGGCAGCCCTCAGCTGTGGCTGGGGAAACAGGAGGAGATGATGTTGCAAGGGCATCCGGATTCCAGCTTGGCCAGACAAGCACTGACGTTTTTCCATCACATCTGACCCGTTGATGCCTTCTGCTGGAGCTTTCATTCAGGAATGCTAGCTGTGGTCAGGCTGCATGTATTTACAGACACAAACAAACTGCTGATGACTGAAATACACCACTCCCATGACTGTGCTTGGCACTGCTCTTGCAAGGGTAAAGGCAGATCTGCTTACCCAGTAACACAAAGCCTTAGCAGTGCTTCCTGACTTTTAATAAAAATGCAGCCTTGTGGAAAGGCTGAATTTGGGGGGCCACTCTGCACTGCACCACAGGCAGCACTGACAGCATCAACCCTGTTCACTTATTTTTCTACACTGGCTTAGTAGCCTGGCTTGTGGCTCCCCTTGCTTATTTGGTCCCACATTGCTCCTGTTCTGCTTCACAGCTGAGCTGTCTCCCTGGGCAGGGGAAGGAGGGCACTTGCAGTCCCGTCCCCAAGCCTTTTCTCTGCTTTTTCCACTCTCCCTGCCCAAACCACCCCTTAGCAATGAGTCAAATCTTGGCTCCCTACAACTGCCTGGGTTGCCCAGTCTCTCAGCCCTAACCCAGTGTTGTGGGAAATGCCACAGCACAAAGGTAATCTGCAAGAGTGCAAGGGAAAGGGTGGCAGAGGGGCACTGCCTATGCCTCTCCTTTCAGAGTGCAAAGGGGTGGATTTGTTTTTAAACTGCTTGGTCCCTCACAAATTAACTGAAGCAGAAGTGTATTCACAGCGTTTGCTGCTCTGGGTGGCAAAGCTGGTTTAAAGCATTCCTGCCCTTCCTTTTCCCGGGCTTTCCTTCCTGCTCCCCCTTTCTGTGCCTGGGGCAGTATGACTTGTGTGAAGCAGCCACGTGAACCAAGCTAAAACTTGCTCTGTCTCCTTGTGATGATTATTTTCTGGCTGCTTTCTATTTTTTTGTCAGTGATGAAATCTGTCTTGCCATCTTGGCACATGGCAGTGGGATGATCACAAACCCCAAATTTATCCCAGGGATGCTCTTTCCCAGGTGGCACGGTTAGTCCCAGCTATTCAAAATGCTGTTTCTTGGCCTGTAAACTTTAGCCTTCACTTCATTATCGTGTAGAAGATGTGGAGCACTGAAGAGCTGCCCCTGTGCAGTACTCAGGCCTGTCCTGCTGCTGGTGGTGCTGCAGGGAGGAGGCAGCACAGCCTCCAGCCCACCCATAGTGGGTTACACTAAGGCAGCATTTAACCAGAGCCTGCCCTGCACTTGTTTTCAGGATGGATCTATGCACCCTCCTCCCCTGCTAGGGCAGATATAGTGGAATGAAGTGGGAAGACAGCATAAACTTCATTTGTTTGAGGTTTTGAGTTTTTTACCCCACCTGATCAGCACCGATGCCGCCAAGGCGCCACTTGCTGCCCTCCTAAAAATGCCAGTTCTGAGATATTTTTAGTGTGGTCTGCTGCATTTCTTCAGTGCTGCTTGTAGGCAGAGGGGGGGCCATAAAGTTCTTGAAGGAGAGCTGTTTTTACTGAAAAAATAAGAGCTTCTGTTTATAGAGGCGAAAACACATTAAAAAAAATAAATCCGGAAGGATGGGCCCATGGCCCTTTTCCAATGAGAAGAGCAAGTCAAAACAATGAACACCATTTGTTTTTGCTTTTCCCTGGCAAGCTTCCTTCAGCTGACTATTGCATGATCTGTTGAGGGTGAACAGACAAGAAAAAAAGAAATTTAAAAAAAGAAGGAAAAAAAAAATCCAGGCAGTAGCAATTGCTCCAGCTCCTCTCTCCTGCGGCGGCTGCAGCCCTGTCTGTGTGGGTTTAAAGCTGCAGCTGTCAGCAGGGTAACCCAAACCCCAGCTCCAGAGGAAAACTGACAGGGCTGGGGGAATAGTTTGGGGGGAAAAAATAAAAAAAGCAAAAAAACAAAGCAAAATATATGTCGTGAAGCAACAACACTGGTCTTTGTCCAGCTCTTTCCAAAGGGTCAGGGCTCCCCTGATTTTCCAGCTGGACTCCATGGGACCCCACAGCAACAGTCGTCTGGTAAAAAGTCAGAAGTCTGGATGAGCTGCTGTGTGCTCTCAGCTGCCCTCCTGCAGCCCCCCAGGCTGGACACCTACTTGCACACCATAAGGAATGGGTGTTTATATTAGTTTCCTCAGACTGAACTCCCTTTTCCTTGGGCTCCCACCAGTTTCCAATGTAACACCATTGGCTCAGATCAGGAGCTCCCTGCCCCGGGTCAACACCAGTGTGTTAAATCAACACAACTCCTGTGGCAGCCCCTACAGCTCCAGCTCCATATTTTATGGCCATGTTTTGACTGACAAGGCTCTATTAATAAATCCATCAGGCAGCACCATTGCTGCTGGCAGGAGGAGCAGCCCCAGTTTTGGTGGGGGTCTCAGCAAAGAAACAATCCACTCTATTCACAGCATCATATATGCACAACTGTTTTATTTCGGGGTTTATATAAAAAAATTCCTAAAGACTGCAGAGTTTTTTATCCTAATTTCTTACACATATGGTTCCAAGATCCTGTTTCCAAGCTAATTCCCCCCCTAACAACTTGTGATGGAGTGGGTTCCCCTGATTTTTGACCTAGTCACCTTTCCTAACGGGATATGTCTAAAGCTGCAATATGGCACTTGGTTCACTTAGTTGGCAGGTTTAATACATCTGGAAAGCTGGGGTATGGAGATGCACATGGCTCACAGTCCATCAACACAGGCAGGGACCCTGCCCTCACATCTGTGCCTCCAGAATGAACCAGACCTTTCTCCTTACTGTGCAAATCACAGGCTTTGGTCATCGACCAGTCCCGTCGTAAGGGATTCTCGTCCCTGAAGAGAATCCCGTCTTCAAGTGGGGAAGTAGCCCAGCCATTCAAGCAATTGTCCATGGCAGTGCCAGGCACTGAGACCCCTTCAGTCAACTGTACCGTTGTAAGACTTGTTGAGCTTGTTGAATGTGAACTCTACGTTATGCGTGGAAATGGGCTTTCGGTAGAGAGGATTGGATGCCTTTGGAGAGAGGAGCAAACAGAAAGAACAAAGATGAGGAACAAAGTCTGTACCATGGTAAAAACATAACAATTATTTTGGCGACAGTGCTGTGTTTGGCTTTGAGTGAACTGAACATTCAGATCCAGAGGCAGTGTTGTTTACCCAGAGTTGGTCCATCACCCACCTTCCATCCTGCCTGCAGGCAGAGGCACTGCCCTCCACTGCTGAACATTCCCCCTCAAAGCCTCCCAGAAGGGTTCCCTCGCAGACCTGACCAATGCAGCTGCCACCACAGTCTCCCCTACCTCCTTCAGCCTCCAGCTCTGCTTGGAAATAGATGATGAGACCAAAGGCTGGGTATAGTTTTGCAAAGCACTTGCCTAGGAGAAGGCAACAGTCCTTCTCCTAGGCAAAGGAACTGCAAGATGCTGGACCCCAAAGGCACCACAGGGCAAGGACACCTGCATCCTTGTTCCTGTCACCCTTTTCCATCAGTGCAGAGCTGTTTGCTGCCGGTGCATCCCCAGAGCCCCCCCAGCAGCACCCCCAGCCCAGGCTCACCATTTCATATCTGGCGCGGGAACGCTCGCTCTGGAATCGGTCGAACTCCCGCCTGTCGTGGATGGTGACGAGCAGCTTCCAGAGCGCCAGCAGGATGATGCCAATCAGCACCACGCTGCCAATCACTGCCAGCACGATGGTCACAGCGCTGGGGGCTGAGCTGCAGGCTGGCAGAGAGGCAAAAAAGCTAATTAGCCCTGGTGTGAGTGTATCCTGGGTCAGGTAATAACTTGGACTGCAGTCACAGAGCAAGTGACCTCAGGCAGTGCCAGCAGCAGTGGCTAAATCTGAAAAAGCAACAGTTCCCTCTGAAACTGAACTACATTTTTTTTTAAATTAAATAAATTCCTGGCTAGAGGCAGGTCAAAGGACCACCTCTCATGGATGTCACCAGAGCTAGGATGTCACATAGTAGGGCAGCAGTGCCACTGTCCAACAGCAATGCAGGGTTTTAATGCCAGCTGACCCATGTGGGACACAGAGCGTTAAGGTGCCTCTGGCAAAAGCCAGCTCAGCTGCTCCCACACAGAGACAGGTGATCACTAAGGACTTTATATAAGGACATTAACTGTCAGCTAATCAGCTGGTCTTTTAATTAAGTGCAAGCTGCAGCACAATTGAAATAGAACATGAGGAATCTCAGTCTTTCCCATATTGGCCCGTGCCTTGGAGGACCAGAACAAATCACAAGAAGCTACTGCTGGATGCTCGCCAGCTTGTCCTGCAACACCACAAGGGGTTTTCTTTGAGCAACTGCATTGCATGTGATTAAAATATTGCTGGGAAGCACAGCTGCCTGCACAGCCTGTGGAGGGGAGTAGGGACACGCAGCCCTTACACTGCCTGGATCAGGACTCCTTGGCAATGTGGAAATCCTTGGGTGGTGCAGGGCTTCCCCAACATCCTAACTTAACCAGAAGCTGCACCAGGTGTCCTCTTCTGATGTTTTTGCTCACAAGGGCTTTATCTCTAAATCAAGCTTACTTTTTGCTACTTAAATAGGCTTCAGTTAACTCAGCCTCCCAAAGCTCTTCAGCCCTTGCTGGCAATGCTGATGGCTCAGGTTCAAGGTTTACTCTCAAAGTTCTTTTTTACTAAGTTGGGAGCATTTGAAGCTGGGTTTCATCACTGTAAAACACTTCGGTGCAAATCACCCTGGTTTATCTGCTCACACATGCAGCCAGCCTTTCTGCAGCCCCCCAGGCTGCCCAGCAGCCCATCACCTCTCCTGAGGCTGACAGTGCTGTCAGAAAAAAAACCCAAGGGAGGGCCAACCTGGCTCCTTGAGGACGGTGAGGTTGGATTTCCCACTGGGAAGCTCCATGTAGGTGAACTTCATGACGCAGTTGTTCACTGGGTAGGCACAGAGGATTGCGTTGGGGTCATCTGTTTCTGGAACCAGATGGAAAGATCACAGGATTTTGTAGAAGTTTTTATACATTAAAAAAAAAATCCTAAACACTGCAGAATTTTTGTATGATAATTTTTCAAATAAATGCTTCCAATGCCCTTTATTTTTAACATAATTCCCCCCTAAAAACCTGCAATGGTGTGGGTTCCCTGATTCTGAGCTAGTCACCCTGTCTAACAGGCTGTGTCTAAAGCTGCAATACAGCACTTGGCTGACTTAATTGGCAGGTTCAGTATTAGGAATTAGCACAGCTCTCCCCTGCAAGATAAGCAGAGCTTTCCAGGGATGCCTGGGAGCAGAGGAATGGGGAGTAAGCCTGGAAAGCAGCACAGTTTGATCACAACTCATACAAATTGTAACTGAGCAGTGTCCAGAATTACTGCTTGAGAAAATGTGGCACTTGGCAAACATCACACAGCAAACAGACTCAACCTCGCACGCACACACATTCTTCCTTCATGCTAGTCTGCTTCTGTAATAAATGCCATTTTCTTCTTAATTTGCTAAATTTCTTGAAGAGTGGAAGGAGAAGGGAAAACAAGGAGCACTGACTCAGACAGAGCCATCAGCAGCAGCAGCCCATGGCCAGCTTGTGCTCCAGCTGTACCAAATAGCTCCAGCTCCGGAAACGGCTGAGAAGTTTGTTTTCAAAGAGGGAGATAGAAAAGGAAAATGGGAAGGGGTGGAGGGAGGAAGGGAGGGAGGGGGAAGGGAGGAGTTGGTTGCAAGGATGATGTGTAGCTAAGGGAGTTGCAAGAAATGACAGGACTTTACTCCCAGAGCCACGCGAGCGCTGTGTGGTGGTGTCTGACGCACCATAGCACCAGAGCCTGGTCACTGTTGCCTGAGGAAGGCTGCTTCACAGAAATAATTCAAGACTGAGCAAAGCCATCACCTGAGGTCTGCAGATCTAGCTTAAGAGGGGTGATTTCAGCAGAGCCACTGCCCTGCACAGCCACAGCTCGTTCGATGCCCCCACTGCAGGGACAGTGACTGGAGGGAGTGGAGAATCATCTCTGGCTGTGACAGGAGCACAGCTCTGCCAGCCTGCAAGGACTGAGAGTTTCATGGGACAGGAATTTGGGGACCCAGTGCTCTTGGCTAGCAAAGACATGCATAACCTTGTCTTAGGCACCTGGAAATAGCTTTCCACAGTTCTTGTATCCACGCCTGTCATGCTGAAAAATGATTGCATTAATGGCCACTGCTACCCCAGCCCCTTAGCTCTCTCCTGTCTGTTTGTTTTTCCTTTCAATGCCTTTGACCTGCATCCAGTTAAAAGATTAATACCCTCCATTTCAACAGCTGAGCTCAGATGCAGCTGCCCCTCTGACACGTTCCTGGTGTGGACAAACCTCAGCTGTTCCTACCCTGGGACAGGAAAACCTCCTCTGTCTACACAGTGGTAGCAAAGCATGGGCTGGAAAAGTGCTGATTGTTGGAAAGCAAAGTACTGATTAGATTAACATAGATAATACTTCCATACTTCTTGACTAATGTCCTTTTGAGTTGAGCAGCAAATCTTAGTTTCTGTAGGTCTAGCTGCTTTCACTCCCATTCTTGCACCATCATTTCAGTAAAAGATACAGTGATTAAAGTCTCAATAGTCATGATTTCTGTTGATCTTCACTAGGTTTCAGAGATAACGTCAACAGAGAGAGGTGTGAGGGTTCCACTGAGCTTTTCAGGCGGGAGGGATGAGCTTTGATTCTCAATATGTGCTGGCCAGACAGGCATAAGAAAGGAGCTTTGTGTGTTTTGAACTTCCAAACCTCTCACAGGGTGCTGGTGCAGGTGCACTCCCTGCTAAACTGCACAGTGAATGGAGATAATGAGAGCAAGTGTCCCAAAGGGAAGGGTGGGAAACTTCACTAGTCATAATTTAAAAGTGGGGCACTGGATGTAAGAGGAGTCAATGGGAAAAACATCACCTGCAGATAGCTTAGGAGGAAGTGAGTGAAAAGCTGAGCAACGTGTGGGACTCCCACCTCCATAAACTAAGGAGGAGGAGGAAATGCCAGATGCAGACAGTAACTTATCCCTGCTTGATCTCCATCCCTCCCTCCAAGAGATATTGTTAAGGCCAAGGTCAGGACTGTGATTAAATCTGTTACAAGCCTGGATCCCCTCTACTCCCCTAAACAGCAACCAGGGACTCCCAGAACATATCTTGAAAAGAGAGGGGGGATGCACATGTGGGGTCACCTCTAGAAGAGGACACAAAGGGCAGGAGATTGCCAGGGGGACTTGTAGCAATCAGTTCCACCAAAGCAGAATGCATTTTTAAAACAGCTTTGCTTTCTTTTACCAGCTCGCTTCTTCCAAGATAAAACCTTGGAAGATTAGAAAATACCTTTTCTTGGGTGATACTCTGTCCTTTTGCACTCTCTCATGACTCCTCTCATCTGTCTCATGTGACCTCACCCCATTCTTTGCTCCCTGCACTGGCAGTAGTGGTTAGATGTCATTTAAAATCAAAGAGTTTTTTACTTCACTATGGATTATAGCCTGGAGAGAGCATCACACATACCACACATACACATACTCATACTACCTACATACACACATTTCTAAATATCAGGTGCTCCCTGAAGCTTTCTTTACAGGTATGTCTTGGTCTAGTTAAGAAGAGGTCAATGCCACAGTCACCAGTTCCCACCACCTGCAGCTGCCAGCTTACCAAGAACATCCACAGTGGTGATGATCTCATCCTTGCAGTGCTTTTGGCAGGTTTGGTTATCAGCCAGTCTTCCTGAGTTAAACAGCTTGCACTCAATACAATCCCTGTAGGAACACACACAGAGGGGAAGATTAAGCACACATCAGAAACTCATGAACACAGGGATTCAGCCCTTGGGAAGGGATTCCCTGCGTCTGGTCTGGAGGCTGCACATCTGTAACACAAGGGAGGAGCAGCTTCAGGACCAGGCATCTCCATCGCAAGGATGGATTTCTTAAGATTCAAGATTTCAAGTGAAAAGCAGCTTGTAGGATTCAGTGAAAGTGCAAAGGATTCCATGAAGGTGCAAAGCAGCTTGTAGGTTTGGGGTCTGTTTGCCCTTTGGATGTCAGGAGCTGCACATCAGCTACTGCAAAAGGCAGGCAGTCCACAGGCTGCTCTGTGCTAGTCTGAAGCTGATGCCTGGGCCACCTTCATCGCTGTGAGGCAGGGGCAGTGATTCTGATTCCAGTCCTCCCCTCCTCTGCAGCTCACAGCTCTCTGCACCCAGACATCTGCAGCTCAGAGTGCAGCAAAACTGAGGTTGCCAGCCCTTCCTGCAGGGTGAGACAGCACCAGAAATGAGCAGGGACATGAATCTCTATGATCACTAGGGCAACAAGACTTGTTGCTGCTCTGCCTGGGATACTGTCAGGGTACTTAGCGTGGGCTCCTAGCAGCAGCAGGCTTGCTTGGGGCTGATCACACATTTAGCAAAGCAGAAGTAATTCCTTAGCTGAAAGGTCTCCCAGGAACCAAAGAGCTGCCCTTCCCACCAGGAGCGAGAAGTCCCTCCTGAACTCCTGTGGGTACCTTTTGGTGCTGCAGACACCGGGGCAGGTGGGACACTTCTCGCAGGTCTCTCCGAACGCCCCGGGCTCGGTGCACTGGCACCTCCCGCAGACGCAGGCGCCGCGGCCGCTGCACATCTGCCCGTCGCTGGACACGCAGCTGTCCGTCTCCGTGGAGCAGTTGCAGTTGTCCCCGATGAACCCCGCGTGGCACTTGCACTCCCCGCAGTGACACTCCCCGTGACCTGAGCAGGACAGCAGGGGACAGGTGTCAGCAGGATTCCAATGGCCACCACGGGGTGCTGGGGTTGGCAGGGACCAGCAGCCCAGCAGGAAGAGCTGCCAGAGAGACATTACTTGGCAGGGCATCAAACAGATGCTGTTGGGAAACACTTAAACATCAAATTAATATCAACATTCAGCAGCAAAAACTACCTACTCATTGCTCTTCCAGCTTCCCTCTACGGTTGCTTAAGACAAATGGGCACTTTCCCCTTCCTGCTTTAGTATGAAATAATCTCTTCTTTCTCTGTCTACAGTGAGAGATATTAAGATGGGAATGGAATACTGCTCCCTTGCTGGTTTTGAGCTCAGAGTTCAGCAGCAAAAAGCCTAGCAGGTTGCCCACCTCATAAAGTATTTCCTTCTCTTTCTTCTTAACAGTTTTACTTAAGAAGTTATCTTAAAACCTTGAAAAAAATTATATCAACAAGCACTATTTCCTGTGTCCAAACAAGAACTCTGTGTCCCAACCAGAGCCACAAAGGTTGCTGGGACCAGCTGAGTCCCCCCCAGGGAGTAGCTCAGGGCAGCTCACAGCAGAAATGGATGAAGAAACCAATCCAGCAAGGGCTCTTCTCCACTGAAGCATCCCCTTGGAGCCAAGGGGCTTAGTGAAGGACTGAGAAAGTAAACAGGCTCCAAGGCTGTCAGTGACAGTAAGTGGAGTGGCTGTCCACTGAGCAGCTGGCTTCAGGGAGCCATCCATCTGCTGGGGACTGCTCAAGTTCTTCCCTGGCCAGTCCCTAGGAGAAGGGATGCCTTTGCAGGCAATAGTTTATAGAGCTGAAGGGTTTGTACACAAGGCTCATCAGCAACCTAATTACATCTCAGCTTTTCCACTGAAAAGAGCCTCGAGCACCCCAGACATGATAAATTATACACACGCTCCTTTCATCGACACAAACCCGCGGATCTCCCTGCCTCTCCCACCGTGCCAAGATTACCAGAGGCTGTGGATTACCAAGCTATATCCCCTGCCAAAAGTCACAGGAGCACCTTCTGTTTTACTAGGCATCTCATATATCCCAGCACATCACAGGCTGTCCTTCTACAGCCTCCTCTGCAGTCCCACCGTTTGCTTTGGATCCAGCCTGCATACTCAAACATTACTGGACAAAGGAGATTATGTTTACAAGATCTCTAGAGGTGACCTCCTTCTGTGCCTACATCTGATGTAGAATAAAATACTTTGCTCTGCTTGCCTTCACAATGACAGCCTTGCCCTTTCCTCAGACAGAAAGCTCTGGGTTTGAGCCCATGGCTCAGCTACATCCACAGCTGCTGCTGTTTGGGGGGCAGCTGCAGAGTGGGTGACTCCCAAGACCATCACTTCACAAGCAAACCAAATGGGGTGTCTGGCTTTTATTCACAATTAATTCAGGTGATTGGGCTCTCACACACAGCAGGTTTGGTGCCACTTGCATGGCAATGCAAGTGTCCAAATTAGCTATAATCTATGGTTTTGATAAAGGGCAGTATTTGAAGGAATCCAAAGCAGCTGGCGATTAGTAAATGTGCTCAGGCTTGAATTTGAACTGTGAGGGCCAAGAGAAGCAAGCTGATGTATTCATATTACTCCTCAGCTCTCCTAGGACACCACAGAATGCAGCACAAGATGTGAGTCCAGAGGAAATCTGTCTCTGGACCATTAAATGGTTCTGTTTTTAAAGGCATCAGTGCTAGGTCATAGGAGGCTAGAAAGACTGCACATCCCTTCCAGCCCCTGGCAGGCTGGTGGCAGAGCCTAAAATTACTGTCCTGGGGAAGGGAAATGGCCACTTGCAAATAATGCATCCTATTAAACCACTGTGATTGGAAAACTTAAGAAACAGCATCTTAAAGGATGTGGTTTTGTTTATTCACAGGGATGAAGAAAAAGCCATTCTGTATGAGGGTGACTAAGTGTGGGGTGTGAGCTTAAAATGTCAAAACACGTTGACATGTGTTTCCTGCCTTGGCCACACTGGTCCTGCCTGGGCCACACTGGCTTAGTGTTCAAGAAGTCACTGGCTGAAGCTCATCATGGTCAATGTGCCAAGAGCAAGAATTTCCATCTTGACCTTCAAAGGCAAAGGTATCACAGCCTTCACTGCTTCCATCAGCTTGAAAGAGTGGCCACAGCTGCAAGCACCAAGAGCTACACTTCTGGTGCCACCCATCTCCCACACAGCCTGAAGACCAGAGAAACTCAGTGAACGAGGAACATTTGGTTTTCATATGGGCACAATAAGAGTTGTCCCACATCTCAACATCCACCTGGAGCACCAGAGGTGGGAATACACTCCATCCTCTCACTAGGGACACAAACTGAGAGGAGTCCTGAGGCAATGCGGCAGCGAGGGTTTGGTGACAGCGACCCAGAGCTGTGGTTTGCAGAGTGTTACCCATACTCACATGCTGTGGCACAGTGTGCTGCTTGTTTCCAGCTCTCTCTCCCACGGTCACACACAGTGCTGATGTGGCTAAGCACTCTCTGTGCCATCATGCCTGCAGGAAACCTTCCACCACCGTGCCCATGATGAACCCAGTTTCACTTCCCAGTTTCATTTCCACAGCAGTGTGTCCTCAAGGAGGGTGTGTTTCAAGACACCTCTGCACCAGCAGCAGTCTCATGGTGCAGGACATCACCCTGGACTTTAACCCCCTTGAACCCTTTGAGTTTATACATTCTCTGTTAAAGCTGGTTTGTGAAGCCAAAATACATTAATTATGTTCTCCAAACATAATAAGAGATGTTTTCTTCTGTTCCCATATTCAAAATGAGACAAGCTTAGAAGTTTAAAAGATCCAGATCTAACTAGGAAATTAAATGCTCCCCCTGAATTTGATAACATTCTTTCCAGTTAGCTCCTGACCTTTGGGGCTGGGCTAACACAAACCACATGTCAGGAGGCTGCAGAAACCTGCAGAGGAAAGCAGTGCTTCTGTGGGGGGAGAGCAGTCCCCAGACTGAGCTTTACTGGTCTGGGATCCATCCGGGCAGGAGCCATGTGGTGCGCTGCTCCCAAGGACCGCACCAGAGTGGGCTGAGACTCACAGCCCAGCCAGTGCTTCCATCTCTCCCCATTCCAAAACACATCCCCGTCCCACTGCTGTGCCCCATCTGGGCTGCACATCTCACTGTCACTCAGGCAGCTTTTCCCAGGACACCCATCCATCCTCATTTCACCCCAGCTGCCCCCCAGGATGGCAGCCACAGCCCAAATCCCCCCTGCCCCCAGCATGGTACTGCACAAACCCAGCTTGGCGTCTCCACAGCAGCGCTGTTCTCCTTGTTCCCAAGCAGGTTCATTCCCAAATCAGGACAGCAGCTTCTGGCAGAAGCTTCCAGCCTCTGACCCTGATTTCATCCCAGCCTTCCTGACAGCAGGCTGTGACCCTGCTTGGCAGGACAGCCCGTCTGGCCTCTGCGATAACTGCGCCTTTTCAGAACTGCACCAAGATGTGACACTCAGTGCAATAAAAGCTCTGCCACTGGGGCTTTTCATGGAAGGTGGTTCTCCTAAAGCCTCCTACTTCTGAGGATGACAAAGTCATGCAAAAAATACCAGCTTTCTTCTGAAACAAAAAACATGATTCTAGTTTCTAATGGAGAGGTGGAAAAGGTTTGAAAACAAGCCTCCTCCAACACTCCTTTTTTCCCCATCTTCTAGAACATTAAACTGACGTGCCTAACATACAAGAAAAACAAGTCATGATATTTAAGCCAGTTTAGTGGTTTTTGAGCACTCAGGAGGAGAAAGATCATACTGTATTTTGTTCCCATTAAATCAAGCCATTTATTTTTGTGCCTCTGTGCTCACATCCAGACTTTGGGTCACAATCTCTGAAAGGCTGTGCTTTTGTCATTTTTGGTTATTTGAACAACTAGTCTGAAACAGAAAAAAACCCACAGGAAAAACAACTAAGAGAAATAAGTTATGGCAAGCAATTTCCAAATTCTCCAGTGTCATTCCTTTAACAAGCCCTGGCTGCTTCTTCACCCAGAGAGCCCCAGTGAAGAAGGGGTCCACAACCATGGATCAAAACCATCTGCTTATGAGAGAAGTCAAACCCTACAGACACAGGGCACCACCTGAGCATCAGTTTTGTACCAGACCAGCCAATCTCTCAGCAAAAGTGCTCCATGTCGGGGGGAGAGGCTCTGTGAGCAGCACATTTTGAGTGGGAGGAAGAAGGGCAGCAGAAAAGGCTTTGAACACACAGGAAACATAGGGCTTTTAATTTGGGAGAGGGCTAGGGTAAGACACAGTGCCTGCACAGGCAAATAAGTCACCACCTCCCCAGTAATTTCTTTCCATGGCTCAAAGCAGGCGGTGCTGCACACCAAGAGGCCGGGCCAGGCAGCCTGCCCAGGGCACAGCTCAGGCCCAGGGCACTGCCAGATGGTCAGCACCCACAGGGACTTGGAGAGAGCTCCAGAAATTTTAAACAGCAGGGATGGACTTAGGATCCACCCCCTGGGTCATGCCAGTCCAGCAGGGAAAACAAGGGTGGCAGATTGGCAGGAGCATCCCCAAGCCCTGGAGCCCACTGAGCATAACAACCTCCTTGTGCTAAGGAGGCTGCTACATAAACACAGACAGACAAATGTCAAGGGTCCAAGGTTTCTGTGTAACCTGAAATTCATCCAACTGCCTCCACTCACACCAGGAGACAGCTTGCCCACACTCATTTATCCACAATGCAATCCTGAAGCAGCAAAAGAAACACGAAGAGGTTAGTAAGAAGTAAATAGTGCTTTTCTGAATGTTATTTACACCACACACCATGGATCTGTGCACCTTCCCATTGCAATGGATGTTCACATCCTGAAGCATATGGTTTTAACCAAGATTTCAGCCCCAGCATTGGGCTCACCTATCATCAAAAACAGCACTGGAGATGCATACTAACAAAACCAAAGGTGAAGGAATAAAAGCAGGCTTGGGCTGCTAATTCAGCCATGGGCACAAGTCCCATC